ACTTTATTAGACGAAACATTTACCGACCTACTGAAGCTGACGCAACGAACAGGAACCCAACACCTGTTACTACAGTGACTATACCTCACATTAAGGGCACTTCTAAGACCATCTCACGGATCCTACACCCCTACAACATCCGTGTAGCCCACAAACCTACAACTACGTTACGACACTTACTGACCAACGTGAAAGACAGGGACGAACCCAACAACAGACAGGGAGCAGTTTACAAGATCAAATGCTTCGACTGCCAAGCCTCCTACACTGGTGAGACTGGCAGAAACCTTAACACGAGACTGGCTGAACAGAAACGAGCCATGAGAAATGGTGATGCCAACAACCACATTGCTGTACATCATCAACTGACAAACCACAACATTGACTGGGACTCTGCTCAGTGCTTAACCTACAGTGCTAACTATTTTCAATGACTGACTCTGGAAAGCTGGTACACTACTACTAACCAGACCAAACGCCTCGTAACAGATGTCAACAACTACCAGCGCCTTACAAACGACTTATGCACAACGGAAACCGATTAACAGACTTCTAACAGACTGACTTAATTTTGACTAACAATAGACGGACCAAAAACCGACCAATTTGACCAACAATAGACGGATCGAAACCGACCAATGATTGATGACAAACTTTACACGAGTCTTTCAGCCAATGCCATCATGGCTAAACTGACCAATCACAGGCGGAACAGACTTCTAACATCATCGACTGACAAAAACTATTCACTTGACTCTGAAGATGACTTCCCCTCAGGTTGTCGAAACGACAATCACCAAAAACAGTTCTTTTCAGAACTACCCTCACCCGGATGATCACACTATACGAACTAGTAATTAATTCTGGTAAATGAAAGTTTTAGATTTAGGTAATTTATATTTCTTAATATCGATCGTGGATTAAATTTTAAAACTTCCTGTAATGTTTATGATTTCTTTTAAGGTACAGTACCCATCGAAATCAAAATAGACAGTGTTACATTTCAAAAGGCAAAAAGCAGGGATCCTGTGCAACAAGAGGAAGCCAAGTGGGTTATAATGAAGGAGATGACAAACTATTTTACTAAGACACATGCAGATCGCGTCCCGGTTGCCAACTACTCTCTTTGCCTTCACCACTATTTGAATGGCGTTCTCGACGTAATTGTAAAAGAAGCAATCGAGGGAAGTTTACTGATAACAGTGGAGTGCAGGACTCTGGAAATTCTCGAACGTGTGTGGGAAGACTACTGTTCTGGTCACTTGAATGCAGTAGCCGAGGAACGCCTTTTGACAGATGATATCAAGAGACGGTTTGAAGTGGAATCCGTTCAGCTGGAAACAACCATTTTGGAAAAAGATTACTTGGCTTGCAAACTGTTCCTAATGGACATGTCAAGTGAGTCAACAATCTGCAGCTTTATTTCCTGGTTTCCTTGAGTGTTGATATTGAACATTCCACAATCTATAGCTTACGATATATTCAGTATGATATTCCGTTTTATTATATTGAGAAGAGTGTTTTATCGGGAACTAAACCACTCGTAGATTCCATACGCCACTTCATCCGGCACCCGAGTGGTGTATTTTCCGTATGTCACCTTTGTGAGTGTCGTATCGTTCAATGACCGCACGATTCCCACCTTTTGCTTTTGTTGAATTGGTTTCTCCATAATATATAGATTTAGGCCAGCCTAAAAGCGGAGCTCCTCAGTTATTTTTCGGAATGTTGTTACTAATGAAAATAATCCAACATGTATGAGGTATATTGCGAATGATTTAATAGTTTCAGCCGGAACTAGTATTACTTCAGCAGATCGAGGTGTAAGATGGTGTG